GATTTGTAGTTGCTTTGTTTAGAAAAAACTAAGCTTTGATTTTAAGTTTTCATGCTCGTATGGCTGTATATGTCCACTACCTTTGTTCCTAGTTCTAAAATTGATCTTATACAATTATAACATCATGCTATCATTGATTTTCTATTATATTAAAAGATCTTTGTGAAACATTAAAAAGCATTCTGGTCATGTTATGTATTAACGAGGACTTTTAAGATCGATGGCCTAATCTAATTAGATGCAACATTTTTATGCTGATAATTGACAAAGTGATATCATTATGTTTACTAGCCTATTTTGACATCATCTGTATTAAAATAGAATATGCTAGCAATAGTTATTACTTAAGATTATTTGTTTCTTTAAGTTATGTATATTTAGTTATGTGTTTCAATTCTTGTGTGCGTTTTATTTAATCGTCATGCATTAGTTTGCAGTAATACATCACATAGTAATAACGCTACATGGTGACTCTCTTATTGACATGTTTATACATAGGATACTAGTACACGAGTTTGTACTCTATCATATTTTTATTGATAGTAGTTCTTATCATTTCTATTTTGCTTATTTTTATGATAGATTTTACTATGTGGCTACATAAAATTATATTCCATTCCTGATGTGAATCATATCATTTGTGATAAACATTATATAAGGATAAGACGGTGGGTTCAACTCCCAACGCACCATGAGGGTAAGACATTGGATTTTGAGTCCTGATGATCCATGATTGTAAAAGTTGGGTTCGAGTCCAAACTCATTATGGCCTAACATGTCTTTATATGGGTCAGACATTGGGTTTGAGTTCCAATGCACCATATGGATGACATATTGATGACTAAAGAAAAATAATATATTTTTCATGGAAAAGCATGAATCTTGTCCCACTTGATTTGCACCATTCTTGAAGTGAATATGGTAGCAATGCATAATAAGTAAATGAAGACAAGTGGTTGACCAATGAACATGGCCGTGCCATTGATCAAATAATAATAGTCATCATTATGGTAATTGTAAAAAATGAGAACAATAAGGGTTCTCGAAGTAATCCTTCAATAGGTGAAGGAAATATTTACCATCAAATTGGTATGAAAAATTTATAAAGCACATCGTGATAATTATACTCCATTCTTTGAAGAGAATGTGACTTGTGCATTGAGAATGCATATTCATTCCTGAAGGTGAATGTAACAATATGTGATAAAAGTAATGAACAAAGACGTGTAATGCATGATTGGATACACACCACAACTCACCTCTAAGGGAGGTTTGAGAGAAAGAGAGATAATGAATATTACTGTGTGATTACATGAATATGTCATTGGCCGCGTACATGTGGTACGCCAAAAATAATTTGACATGCCTTATAAAAAGTTATTAAAGGTAAAAGTAAAGCAAGAAATGATTTTGCTTATGATGATTTTGACCATGACAATTATTATAATATGATTTTCTCCATGAAGGAGACATTCACCATATGGATGGTGTGACAAAAGATCTTGTAGTACAAAATCAATTACGAGCTCCGGAAGAGCTAATTTGTTACTACCCGGATGAATAAAATTATTTATGACATTAATATTATAGTAGTAAGTCTCAAAAGAAATTTTTTGAGTTTCAAATGTATTAGCCAAAGTGGTTGGCATATTGAGACTATAAATGAAAGGAAGATTGATTATCTTCATATTACTATAACATACCGGGTAAATATAAAAGGTTATCCGACTTTTCTTCTATTTGTACTAAAGATGTATAAGCATGATATATGAAATCATAGCCATAGTAAATTAAATATTTACTGAAATAAATATTAGTTGGCATGACCGGTTGGCCATCCCGATTTATTGATGCGAAAATTAATTGAGAATTCACATTGGCATATATTAAAGAAATAGAAGATTCTTTAAGAATTCTCTTGTGATGTTTTTTTTCTCATGATATACCAGTTAAGGTTGGGATTGAATCCCTTGATATCTGGAACGAATAAAAGGTGATATATATGTATGGGCCCAATCACCTGCCATGTGGATTGTTTGCTATTATATGATTTTAATAGATGCATCTATTGTATGGTCACATGTGCGTTTTTTATCAACTTGCACTTTGATTTTTGCAAGGTTGTTTGCTCAAATTATTAGAGCACAGTTCCAGAATATATATTATGATAATTTATCTTGATAATGCTGGTTTAAATCCAAGTTGGTTTAGCAGAAATTGTATGCCTCCAATTATAGCTAAACCATTGGTTATGAGAACAAAACTCCAAATAGAAATTTTGTATTAAGTATATTATTTAATATACAACAACACTTGTACGCATCTAGCCAACAAGTTATGATAAATTCTCCCCATCACAATTGGTTCAGGGTCAGGAACCAAATATTTTCATCTAGAAATATGGATGTACTATATGATTTAATTGTGCCACCACAATGCACAAAGATTGGTCTCAATGAAGGTTGGGGATATGTGTTGGTGATCCCAACATTAGGGGGAGAAAATGAGCAGCTGAAAAAAAAATAATACATGGAATGAATTATTATGAGTACATTAGATCCTCGTACAAGAAAATATGAACTTGAAGTTCAAGTGATAATTCATTTGCAAAATATTTCCATGCGCATTTGCTGACCCAAACTAAATGTCATATTGCAGCTACTAATGCTCCAAATAGAATAAAGTCCATGATGGACATAGTCTATGGAACTCTTGAAGCGTAATAGACTAATCGGTTCCAAAGATAAAACTCCTTGAAGAAGGAGAGGAGCAAATGTTCAAGATGGTCATAATAAGGAGGCAAGTGCTTTATAAGAGCACCATGACATAACATTTTATAAGACCTCATGGGAGAGGCTCAGGTACCTGAAAATAGTGAGATCTCGATAAGTTATGTCTTTATTATGCGATGATGGAACCGATGTAAAATGATCGTTGACGATGTTGTTAATATAATGTAGCGCTCAATATTATTAATATTGACGAGGATCTTGAGCTCAAATCTGTCATGGAATTTGGACAGATAAATAATTGGCCAAATGAAAAATACGCAATGAAAATTGACTTCATCTGAAAAATATGAAGTTTGGACGAATAATCCCAACAACTGAGAGTATAAAGGCTATATGGAGATATTGAAATATGATTAGTATTATATTACAAAAAGAATCCTTGATATAGATTTGTTTATTCTAACAAATATTGTCAAGGTTTTGTTGTTTATGCAAATGCAGGCATTTATTGAAGTCCGTTCTTCAAACAATCTATTTGTATGTGAGGAATTGTTATATTATCATTTCACAAGATGTGTGACTTTTCTTTGAAGAGAAGATTCCAATAATAATGAAGAAGCTGATGTTTGCTTATCTCAATTGAAAGAAGAATATTGAAGGAGACTAAATAAATTATATATTTCATCCAAGTTCTTTGTCAGACACGATCTTCAACAGAATGATGAAATAGATGTTCAAGAAATTCGTTCAAGTGATAATTTGGCGGAATAATTCACCAAGGCATTGCCGATCTCAATATCAGAGAAGTTGTTAGACAAGCTTGGAATTCGTCGTGATATTTTCATCAGGAGGAGACAAATATGTGCTGTACTCTTTTTCCCTTAGCTAAGGTTTTATCCCACTGGGTTTTCCTGGCAAGGTTTTTAACGAGGCAGCAAATAAAGTGTATTACAGATATGTGTACTCTTTTCCTTCACTAGGATTTTTTTCCCATAGGGTTTTTTCCTAGTAAGGTTTTAACGAGGCACATTATCTTTGGACATCCAAGGGGGAGTGTTATGAAATACTTGATTATGGTGGATGTCCATAACTCCTAAGGGAGTAACACCCACTACTCTTCTCCATTAACCTCCCACTACTTCTTACCATTATGGATGTAACTCCCACACCTCCATGATCTTCCCCCATGTTCTCAATAGTTAATACCATGTTAATGGAGTCCCTTTGTATTACCTATATCATTCTATAAATAGAGGGTTTGGCATCACATTGTACACACTTGAATACATAGAAGAAATAAGATTCTCTCCTCTCTTCCTCTCTACATTGTTGTCTATTTTCTTGTTTTATGTATTACTTTGAGCTAAGTTTCGTAACATTAAATATATTATTTGTTATATTTTGTGATTTTAATATAATTTTATAATTATTTTTTATTTATACTATCTTAAAATTAATAAAATTTAAAGATCCGTAGGACTTACGCCTCATGTCTCAAAGCTTATGCCTCGCCTCGTCAGAGGTAAAACGCTTCACCCCACGCCTTTTAAAACACTGATTTAGACAAAATTCAGTTGTCGAAATGTAAGCTGGAATTCCCTATCAGCGATGATAGACTTCGAAATGAGAAGTTAAGGGAACTATAATTTGATAAGAGTAATGGCACTATTATAACTTTCTTGTACAAGAAATGATATCATAAGGATTTAAGATATAAAGCTTAAAATTGTAGGGTAATACCGTAAATTAACGAAACAAACGGAATACTGGGAATGTAACCATCAAAATGGCCATTATACCTTGGCATAGACAACAACCATCATCGACGTACTTTGGGCATTTACGACAACCATCATCTACTTAGGCAAGTGAAGTTTTTTTTTTGCTTTACGCATTCAGTATTTGAAACTCATTGTTTGATTAATGCAAATTTGTATCGCGTAGTATCTATTAAAGGTGAAAGTGATCCCTACAAGAATTCTTTTTCATATGTTCAAGTTCAAACTCAAGATTGAAATCTCTGGTTAGCATGAATGAATTTCATCCATCTCAGCTAGTATAATTATATGAAATCATGAATCAGTAAGGAGCATTCCCATTCGATGGACATCAGATTCATGTTCATGCTCAATGGCCCAACCTGCATTAAAACTTGGGGCCACTCACTACCAAATATTATGGTACTATTCTGAATTAAACTTAACCATAAAGCAATCCAACAGCATCATATGTTCAAAATTTCTACTACTCTGCAGTGCCTAAAAGCAAGTTAAAGCAAACAGAAAAGCTAAAAACTCAGCCAAATCTTCTTAAAGAAACCAGAATTCCCTCCCAAAAAGATAAAAAGCTGGAAAAGTAGATATAAAACCCCATATTAACATATTCAACTCAGATTCTCCAACCCATCATGTGATTAAAGTCCGACCCCCTTAAATTATGCACTCTAATTTACCCCTAATAATATCACCATTTTCTTAGCATCCCAAGCAAAGTATCTATCAACTTTTTCTTTTTCAAATTTAAGAAAAAGAAAATGTATCTTTCAATACACAAGTCTTTCTTTCCCATTCAGGCTCATTGCTCTTCACTCAGCCATGGCTCATCTTCTCTCAGCTTTTATTTTCTTAATATTTCAAACACTAGCACTCTCAAAATCAGCTCATAGCTACGGCCATGGCGCACATACATGCAGATCATACTGTGGAAACTTAACAGTCGATTATCCATTCGCAATTCAATCCGGCTGCGGCCATTCAGGCTACAGGGACCTCCTATTTTGCATCAACGATGTTCTTATGCTTCACATTAGCTCCGGATCGTATCGCGTTTTGGACATCGATTACGCTTACGAATCCCTCACTTTAGACGATCCTCACATGTCAACTTGCTCATCAATCGTCTTCGGTAACCGCGGTAACGGATTCGTCGTAGAGCGGTGGCGTGAGCCGTACTTAAACCCTACGGCGGACAATGTGTTTATGCTGCTAGGTTGCACGGCGGAATCGCCGTTATTCCAAGGTTTTCCGGGGAAGCATTTGCCGTGTAGGAATGTTTCCGGGATGGGTTGTGAGGAGTATTATGGGTGTCCGGCTTGGAATATAATTGGGCCGAGAAAAGTGGGCTCATCAGTATATGGATCAGGCCCACCTGAGTGCTGTTCAGTTTCATTTGAAGCTATTAAAGCTATTAATTTGACTAAACTTGGTTGTCAAGGGTATAGTAGTGCTTATAGCTTAGCTCCACTGAGAGTAGATGGACCTCATGGTTGGTCTTATGGTATAAGAGTTAAATACTCAGTTGATGAAGGTGACTCTTTTTGTAAAGCTTGTGAAGCAACAGGTGGATCTTGTGGCCATAATGTTAATGATTTTAGCAGTTTGTGTATGTGTGGAACATGGAATTCTAGTTCCAATTGTGATTCAGGTAATACACATCCAAAACTCCCACAAATCAAGTTCAATTAAAAGAAAATTGAATTTACATTCCTACTCCTTTCCTTTTAGTATAAGTAAATGGCTTTCATCCAATATATATTTCGTGTAGAGAACTTTAAATTGAGAACTCATTTTATAAATTACTCGCTCTGTCCCAATTTATGTGTCATCTTTTTTTTTTGTTTGACCAGAAAAGAATATTATATTTTCTTATTTAAAAATAATTAAACTTTAAAGTTAACATTTATACCTTAATAAAATGATTTATCGTTACACACAATTTTATGACTGATTTTAAAACCACAAATTTCAAAAGTCTTATTTTCTTTCTTAAATTCCATGTCTAATCAAATATCGTCACATAAATTGAGACGGATGCAGTAGTTCTATTTGATTGAATTTAAAAAAACATATTGATATTGTAATAGTACAAGGTGGAAGATAGATAACGTTTTAAAAGTATTAATAATTGAAAATGTCTAAATTGTTGTAAGTTGATATGATGAGGTAAGAGTTAATACAGTTTTAAAGGAAAATGATTTTGGACCATAAGAAACTTTCCCATTTCGATGGGAAATATATTTTATTGAAGAAAAATATTTATGGTTCCAAATAACCAAACAGAGGAAAGTTGTTTCATCTGGTAAACTAATTTTGGGAGAAAATATTTTCTGCCAAAACTAAGGACATCCTAAAATTTCTTTATTTACTTGTAATTTTTCATCATGTGCTTAACCAAATTGAACATCTTATATGCAGTCCACTCAGCTTCGCATAGAAGAACTTGGTCGTTAATGGATGTACTAACAGGTATGGATTCATTGATTTTAATTAGTACCATTGGAGAGAGTTAACAAGCGTTAATTACACTGTAACTTATATCAGGTCATTTAAAAGTTATTATAGCTAATCATTTATGACAGGTGAAATTGGTAACCTAAAAAATAATGCAACATAACCTGTTATAATAAATTAAATTATACTGATAGAATAAAAATGTCAGCTGATATAAGTTAAATCCGTGAACCAATAGTTATTTCTGGGAACTAAACAGCTCAATTAAAATGTAGGATTCTTGGGTTGTATCGCCGTCTGGAAGCTCTCCACCAAACTTGGACTGTAGAAAAGACAATGACGTTTTGTGTTTGATTGATCCAAAATGAGCGGCTCAAATGTGCTTAGCAGAAGAACATACAGAGCAACTAATGTCAATGTTATATCTCACCATTGAAGAGATTGTTATATTGTGCTAGAAAAGAGGAACGTCAGTTTGATATTTATTGGTTTTGAAACTTAATTTCTTCTTTTCTCTTTTTCTATTTTTGTAGTACTCCTTAATTTTTTGGTGAGTACCTAATTTTTCAATTTTGGCTCAAGAATGAAGAATTAGATTGTGTGTTATGAATGTAAACACATAGAGACAACAGGTTATGCTTGATTCTTCAAGTTACTGTATAATTGAAGATGTTGCAACTAAATACTACTCCATCCGTCTTAATTTATCTGTCGTGTTTTTCTTTTACACGACATTCATTAGGAAGAATTTTGAATTATTTTACCCTTATTTATGTCTTAAGATATGTTTGCTCTTCATTGAATATCTACTCTATTCATATGCTATCTCTAATTTCAAGAACAATTACAGTTAAGGATAAAATAAAAAAATTATAATATATTTTGTCTTGAACTTCTAAAATAACAAATAATGTGAGACATCTATATTTAGAAATCACAGACAGATAATTTGAGATAGAGGGAATATAAACCTTTTGTTCTTATTGCTATTTATTTCTCTTATTGATATTATTAAATTGGCTTTGATAATATTTTAATTTTTTTTATATCATCACTAATACTACAATTTACTTGTTAAGTGTGGCATTTTCAATTCCGTAACTAGTCAACAAGCTTCATATAGAGTGGGACGAGCGACTTATTGGTAAAACATTACTCAACTGTTTCTCTTGTTCATGCATGGCTGATGCTAACCATCCTCTTCTTCCTCCTGCTCCCAACCCCAACCCCAAAACCAAAACCCCAACCCTGAATTTGTCTGCTACAACTGCCATTGAAGGCCGTTTGATATTTAATCCGTTTGACAGCTCATCGCATCAATACCCATGAATGTCCATAATGTCACAATTTGTTCCGGTGGCCGACCGATTTGGCGGCTCACCAGCAAGAAATCCACCATTAACGGCTTGTTTCTTCCATTTCCTTCCCTTTGTCTTCTCTTTTCTTAAATTAAATAATATATTTACCTTCTCATCAAAATGACACAATTTTTTCATTTTGAACAATTTCTTCATTTTGAGTAAAATCTCTTCTTTAACAGAAGAGGGTGCTGCCTCATGGACAACTGCCATCGAAGACCGTTTGATACTTCATCCGTTTGATAGCTCATTGCATCAATACCCACGAATGTCCATAATGTCACAATTTCTTCCAGTGGCCGACCGATTTGGCAGCTCATCAGCAAGAAATCCACCGTTAACGGCATGTTTCTTCCATTTCCTTCCCTTTGTCTTCTCTTTTCTTAAATTAAATAATATATTTTACCTTCTCATCAAAATGACACAATTTCTTCATTTTGAACAATTTTTTCATTTTGAGAAAAATCTCTTCTTTAACAGAAGAGGGTGCTGCCTCATGGCTACGATTGAATAAATATTTCAATGCCTTGAACACTAATATCAAAGGTTTCAAGATACGACTATTACCATAGCGTAACACAAGCTAGTTCAAGTAACAATTCAAAGAGCGAGTATGACCACGCACCTTTACATCTGTATTCGGAATACCCAATCAAGTTGTTTTTAATATTCTAACTAAAAGCAAGGGTGGTTCCATAAAATTAGAGGCCTAAAGCCAAATTTTAATAAGAGGCCTTATACTTTTTTATTAGTACGTACACACACATATATGCAAAAAAATTAATCTTGCCACTTTTTTCATACTTGTTGTTTATAATATATATTCTTAAATGACATAAAGTCTTTAACTTCACATAGTAATATTATTTTTATATTAGAAAAGGATAATTTAAATAAATGAGATGTTAGACATGTATTTGCAATATGTTACCTTTGATATTATTTAAAAAATATATTTACTAATATGAAGATTTAAGTAGTTTGATTCAAAGTTTTAAAAATATTTTTACTGTTAAAGAGTAGACACCATTATTTCTTTTTTACAAATTTTTTTGTACTTTTTTTTTCTATAAACATTAATATTGTCTAATTTAAAATAAAATTATAAAATCCATTATTAAAAATTTCGGGGGACCTAAATCAAGGCTTTACTAGTCTCCTACTAGAGCCACTTGTCCACCCCTGACATTCTCAATAAGATTTATAGAGTCTCACTTAAGATAAGTCAACAATGACAAGAACATTAATGGCAGTGAGTGTGTCATTCAGTTACCAAATGTAAATGAAGCTAGTTGAACAGTACGTTCATGATGGGGCAGTAGTCTATAAACAATTGTTGATCGTCAGTGAGGGACGACTCAACAGAACTGGTGGCCTAAAATCAAAATATATTAAAAAGACCCTAAAACTTCTTTTATAAAATCCATTTAATATTGAGACACAAAAAAACCCTACATGACTTTGATTTAGTGGTGAGAGCACAACTCATTAGGCACACGTCATATGGTATTGAATTCTTCCCTTAAGTAAAAATGGTAAAGGGTGAGCCCATTATCCATCGTGTTGTGAACCTTGCGATATTTGTCTTGGGGATTTCTTAGTTAAAAATGATGAGATACAAAAGAACTTGCTTTCTGGTGTGTGGATCAATCAAATGTGACAAAAAGGAATAGTTAATTTAGTTATACATTTCTTCAATTATCTTACTACTTCAGGATTGAATTAATTCATTTGTCTAGAAACCACGTATAAATTCAACTGTACCGTTTTACGGATAAACAGTTTGGTGCCCACCGTGGGGCCTAGCCAGCCGTTTAATTAAGTTGATCCTTGCCTTTATTAATAACGTATTTTGATTATTTTGTCTTAGAAAAAATCATAAGAAATGGCAGATAAAGGTGTTAACAACACGCACAATCCCGAGGTTCGAGGGGATCAACCTCATTTTGAGGATTCAGTCAGTGACAACCATAATGAAGGGAACGATGCCACACCGGTACACGACAGGCGATATCCGCGACATGTTCGGGAGGCAACTCCCGATGATACTGAAGAGTAACATGTTGTTGATGCAGTAAGGGTCCTACAAGAGCAACAAGTGATCATTCTGGGCCACCTCACGCGGTAGGATAAGGTTATGACGGAGTTGAAGCACGCGTTATCGGGGGCCTCTAATAACACGAATAGACGAGATCCAATTCTTCCCGGTGCTCCCGTAAATCAAACAACACAGAGGGTCGAGAACAACACCCTGAGGGGGGGGGGAGAGTGGTTCCGATGGAGCTAGGGGGAGTGGATCCGGCCCCACTAGTGAAAACGACCCCTTCAAAAATGAATTTTAACGGTTTATAAGAGCGGTGAATGCCCGCATGGACCAAATCCCGGGGGCACCACCAATGCTGAAAGGACCAGACTCAAAGAGGTATACTCAGTTTCCGTAGAAACCAAGCACGATACCAGAATTAATCCCGAAGCGGTTTAAAATGCCCAACGCGCGAAAGTATGATGAAACTTCAGACGCTCAGGAGCATATTACCACTTATACGACGGCGATAAAAGGGAATGATCTAGCTCCTCGCAAGATTGAATCTGTTTTGCTGAAAAAAATTGAAGAGACTTTCACGAAGGGAGCCTTGACGTGGTATTCACTGTTACTCGAGCATTCCATATATTCCTTTAAGATGCTCGCGGATTCTTTTATTAAGGCTCATGCTGGGGCCTGAAAGGTGCAGGCCCGAAAGGCTGACATATTCAGAATTGCACAAGGAGAATCCGATTTACTACAAGAATTTGTTACTCGGTTCCAAAAGGGGAGGATGTTGCTCCCGGATGTTCCATACGAATGGGCGGCTAAAACATTCACCAAGGGAGTGAATTCGAGAAGTACAGACGCTTCCCACAAACTGAAGGAAAGTTTTCTTGAATTCCAAGCAACTACTTGGGCGGAGGTCACAACCAGTATGAGTCAAAGATAAGGATCAAAGATGATCAGGTCGGTATCCCGTCGTCAGCAAAGGGACAAGAGAAGATAAAGAAAAATGAAAAGGCGACTTCGACGCGGACAGACAATCATCGAGGGGCCGGTTTTTGCCCTACGAACGGGTAAAAAGGCCACATCAGAGGTTTCCAGTCAGCAAATAGATACACTACCGATAGAAGGTCTAATCGCGGCCGGAACAATAGATCGTTGCAGGGCAAGGAAGCGCCAGGTACGCGGGATCCTTCCTACCCCAGGCTATCAGAATATAATTTCAATGTCAGCGTAGTAGAATTGGTATCAGTTATGAGAACCATCAATGAAGCATGGTTTTCGAAGCCGATGAGATCGGATCTCAGCCAAAGAGATTCCAACTTGTAGTGTGAATACCACGGGACGAATGGACACCGGACTGGGGACTGTCGACATCTCCGGGAAGAGGTAGCGACACTGTTGAAGAATGGTCATCTCAGAGAGTTCTTGAGTGACTGGGCTAAGAACAATTATGTCGCAACCGGGACAACGCGGAACCCTCAAAAGCAGGGGAATATCCCCCACGCCAGACAATCAACATGATCTTCGGGGGGAACGAGATCAACAGGGTCACCTTTTCGGCAGCAAAAAAGACGAAAGTATCAATAACCCATAACAAAAGGCTCCAGGAAGTCGCCGAAGACGATATCACCTTCACGGAGGAGTACACCGACGGATTGCTGCTAACGCACAACGGCGCACTAGTAATTTCTTTAGATGTGCTAGACTTCATGTTCTAGTGGATCCAGGAAGTTCGGCCAATATCATACAATGGAGAGTATTGGAGAAAGCTAAACTCAACGAAAGCATAATTCCGGCCACAAAACTCCTTGCCGGATTCAACATCGCGAGCGTGACAACCCAAGGAGAGATTTTGTTGTCCACGAACGCCGAAGAAGTGATTGAAAATACTTTTTTTGAAGTGGTAGATGGTGATATGGGATATAACATTATTTTTTTAAGACCATGGTTGCACGAGATGAAAGCAGTACCATCAACATATTATCAATTGCTGAAGTTCTCAACGCCCAAAGGAGTTAAACAGATAAGGGGTGACCAACCGGCGGCAAGGGAGATGAATGCAATTTCGATCTCCAGTAGCAAAGGGAAGGAACACATGGCATAGCAACT